CACAGACAACCTCTCGTCAATATGCGTTTTCTGCACTGCATAGCTGCAAAAAACGCATAAAAATGAATATGGAGGGAGTTTTGCTTTTGATTAAAAGCAGCAATGATAGAAATGGGACAATGAAATAGAATCGATGTAGTCAGACTACAATTTGTACTAGTAATCAAGATTTTAGTAAAGAAGCCGGTTCTGGAATGACCTATGATTTGAGCTGGTTTGAACCTACATTACCTGCCACTTCGGCGCGAGGAAGAAATGTGTATTTGCTGATGCATGTAGCTGTAAAAAGCAATTCCTCTGCGAAACTTCGCATTCAGTTGTTACATGAATAATTCAGCATCCCTCGAACTGGATCGTATTTCGCGCTCTTCGTCCAAGCCCTTTGGGCAGGGACAACGAGATGAAACAGCCTTATTAGTGGATGATTTGCTCTGGTCAGTGGGGTACCATTCGGACGATGGTCTACTTGCTTGGAATCAGACACAGGAAAGAGCTAAGAGAATGAAAATTTCACTAATACTTTTACTGCTCCAGAATATGGATGTTTTGCAGAACAACACATTGCTTGGCAGGACCACAATGGACAGTTTTCAGTTACAGAACAAGTATGGCAATATGAATATCAGTGATGACGAGCTTTCCGATATTGCTTTGTTGAGCTCCGAGATGCTCCAGCGCTCCATCAATGACTTCTTACGTGCTGGATTTCCAATACCAATCCCCAAAGGTTTCCCATCATGTTTGTAGTTGCACTGAATCATCCTTAGCTTGCAATCCTGAGAAGACTGAATGGTCAGTGATGCTACACTAAATTTCACTGACCATGGTCCAATACCCTCTCTCGGAAAGCAGCGCATCGAATCAAAGAGTCTAGTACCCTCTTTCTATAAATTTTTGGACCGTGGTAATCCTGAAACACTTCCTAATGCATTGTTTGGTTCTACGAGGAATTCCACTGAAAAAAAAAAAAAAACTTTTTGATCTTTTTTGCAGAGATAAATTGGGTACCGTGTCCGAGGATTTGGATAGCTCATACCCTCCTTCCCCGATCTTGCTTCATTTCAAGGTATCAGAAAAGAAACCGTGGGAAGCGCGGGCTCTCAAAGACAGTGCAAACAGCCAGAGTTACCAGAAACAGTTTCAAATACTGGATCTTTTTGAACTAGAACTTCTGGATCAAAATTTCAACCATTTGTAGTGATGCGGATCAAGGCAACAGAACTGCGGTTCCTGGACCGGAGTGTGTTCGTATCCACGGAATTCGCCCTGGATCGCAGGCGCGTGAGTGTCATTGCGCTAGAAGCGTTTGCGGATACCAGATATTTTCCACGTAGTACAAAAATCCATAGCGGCAGCACTGGTGATATGCACGAATGATCATAGATGTAGTACGATATGATGTAACAAGTGATTTGTTCGAAATGATGGTCGAGTAAAATTTTTTCTTTGTGCAAAGAAAATTACATATTCAGCACTTTAGCTATTTGAGGTCCTGAAAGTAAGCAAAAAGTCACTGGTGACGCTCACCAGGTGGACGTTTGGGATCATGCGTTTTTGCGGTATTTTGTGCTGTAGTAAGATCGCTTAGAGTTCCAGTAGCTAGAATTTGTAGCATACTGGTCCTCAAAGTTCAGGAAGTTAATAGCGCAACTATTTAGTACTTGGTCAGGGAGCATTCCCTCAAAATTTCAGCTTTCTAGCTTTTCCAGTTTCCGAGTTAGTGATTTTCCCGCCAGAACTTTCACGGACTCATACGCGAGGCGCAGATGCGCATGGGGGTTGGTACAGCGGTCCTGGGGTGCGACAGCCAAGAAATCCACTGGCAAAATTTCAGCCCGAAGCTTGCATGGTTGCCGAGTTGAAATACCCGGACAGACGCACACACATAAACACACACACACGAGCGAACACACACATCCACACAGAGGGGTCATCACATGCATTTTTACTTATGCAAAAACGCATAATGAAGATACAAATAAAGTAGGAATTTGCTCCCTGAGGTTATTTCGAAGATTGCTGAGTTGAAAAAGAGTGAAAAAGCGCAAACAAATGGACAAACACACAGAGACAGGACCGAAGCAATATGCGTCTTGATGCTTGTTGCAGCTCTGCAAAAATGCATGAAAACTAAGGGATTGTAGAAAATCCCTCTAATAAATAAAAGCGAAAGAAGCGGACAGTTCAGTCGCAATTTTATCTGACACTCTTCTTAACCTGTATGCCAATGCTGGAGCTACTTTAAACGGAGTTGCCCGTCCGTGACTGCACCAACCTGATCAAGAAAATCAGCGATTTGCTCAAGACAATTTAAACGGACAGTGGTTGGTTGACCAGTCTTCTGCGCGGTTCTGTTCAGCGATTACCGGCAGCTGCACCATGAAGTGCATTCAATCATATCGGAGGACTTCACGAACGCAGCGAGTGGCACGGAAAGTTGTTTTGGGGCATCGGCATGAGCTATCTGCGGCGCCAAGTCTCATTTTCTTCGTACTTCGTTTTTCATATGAAGGTACCGCACGGTAATACTTAGGACTGGTGTTTGCATCTAGCACAGTGCGAATAAGCCTAAGCTGCCAGGCCTGAAGTAGCAATGGGAGTTATGTTTGTCGTAGCCGTTCAGGTATTATTCCTGATTTCCGAAATATGTTCAGAGCGAAGAAAGCAAATCGGTAATTTCCACTGAGCGTGTGAGATGCATAAAGACGAAGACGACCAGGAGAATTTGAAGAAGCAGAAAGGTGAAGATGGCCAGGAGAAATTGAAGCAGCAGAAAGATGAAGATGGCCAGGAGAAATTGAAGCAGCAGAAAGATGAAGATGACCAGGAGAAATTGAAGCAGCAGGAAGATGAAGATGGCCAGGAGAATATGAAGAAGCAGACAGCTGAAGATGGCCAAGAGAAATTGAAGAAGCAGATATTTTGCTGATGGAACCTCTTTGAAATTCAATTATTCATGTTCCGTGAGAAGGGCCGCAGGTTATGATGCGAAGTTGTTTTTATGCGTTTTTGCCGTGCAGCGCTAGAGCGCTGCAACAGGCAGCAAAAACGCATATTGTAACGACCCTGTCAGTGTGTGTGTGTGTATGTTTGTTTGTGTGTGTATGTTTGTGTGTGTGTGTGTTCGTCTGTCCGGGTGTTTCAACTA